GAAAATTCTGCCATCAATGCCTTTATGAACATTTTGAAGTGTGAAAGTTTTGGAGGAATGGATTTTAAATGAGGGACAGAAATCTCTCATCTCTTCATTTGTGATTTTTGGGTTTGGAAGGACATGAGGGCGAGTAAACAATAGCATAATTTTCATATTTAGGAGAGCTGTCCCTTTAAGCTCTATGGACAGCACCTGTGATTGTCAGTTACCACAAAAATTATTTTGATTTGTACTTCGGTTTATAAAAACTTAAATTGCCTAAACAGTTACAACAGACGTATATAGGACAAATGTACAATGATTGATGGAGTGGTTCACCCTAAAATGAAACTGTTTTTCAAACCGGTATTACTTACTTTCTCCTGTGGAACACAAAAAGAAGATTTTATGAACCACGTTTCTACTGTTTTTGTCCATACAATAAAAGTCAATGGGGTCCAAAAGAATATAGGACCCCAATGACTTTCATCCATCTGTGGTTCCACAGAAGAAAGTCAGTCATACATGTGAGTAAAAGATAATATAATTTAAATTTTTGTGTAAACTATCTCTTTAAACTCGTAGCCTTTTGTTTTAATATATGTCAACATGCCTTTTTGCTGGCTTCTGAAAACTGCTGAGTCAAGTTTCACAGCCAAAGATGCTGTCCAAAGCGGTTTTGAATTTATTCCTTTAACTTCTGAATTTACCAAATGCACATGTCATTTCTCTTGGCAGTTTCTGACATTCTGACTCTATTTTTATTAACAACTATAATTGTGCATTACAGGAATGCTACAAAATTTCTAAGAACCAACTGAAATGTGTCAGCAGTTTACACATCACATAGACTTTTAAATGCCCCAACAAAATGAACCCCGATTGCACCCTGATCTTCACAGCTCATGTCTCAATCAAGCGATCTTATGCCAGTGTCCTCAGCACACCGTCTCCTTACTGTCAATGCGCGCCTGTCTCGTCAGCCATCTCTTGTCCTCGCGGGATGGCGTTGACTGTCCGGTGAGGTCCTCGAAGGACCTGGCAGCTGTGCCGCTTTGACGGAAGCCTTCCACCTCGTCCAGGTGAGAGTCTCCGCTGGGGTCCTCCTCGATTGTGGCCATTCGCAGTGGATCCGCTTTGAGTGTGGCGGAGAGGTTGGCAGGGCCTGGGCCGGAGAGCGTCTCCTGTGCCGGTGAGACGACGGGGCCTGTGGGGCCCAGTAAGGGCTGAGGTCGCGCTGCCGCTGAATGCAGATGATGGGCCTTCACAATGCGGATGGGCGCCGATTCCAGACTGCTTAGCATCTCTGCGCTCTAAGGACAGAATTTTGGGATGGAATAAGTAAATGAGACTTCCAAAAGACTCGGTATTCATAGTATTCACTACATCCTGCACAAACAGGGATGGGCACAAGTACTCGGAAATGACAGCAATTATCGATTATGAAAGTACTAAATGAATAACTAATAATTATTCATTTAAAATCGAACAAAACACAAGTGGTTTTAAACTATTTTTGACATGACATCTTAAAACAGTGACTGAATTAACGGCAAACCACAATACAAAGACCAAAGATCCATATGATGCGAAAATGCATAAACTAACTACTGATGTACCCAGGGGAAGTAGGGGTGCTGAGGGGGCTGCAGCACCCCCCGTTTTCACATGGTTGCAAATGCAACGCCAAGTTTGTTCATTTCAATTTATTCAGTTTTAGCATTTAAGAATTTATTTGTAATGATCTCTGAAATGTAAATTGTAAGCGGGCTATAATAAACCCATTTTTATCTTTATAAACATGATTCATTTTACTTGTGATGTTTTTTATATGGGATGATTAGCCTAATCCTCAGACATAAGTGGTATCAGACATAAACTATACAGAATGAGAACAAGGTTAACTTTAATACAAGGAAATAATGGCGCAAAAGCAAATTTCAGATTTAAAAAAAAATGCCCTTCCCAGCAAAAACTTTCTAAAATCGGCATCCACACCAGCACGAGCACCGACGTAAGTGAACCAGCTCCAGCACGAGCACGGAGACAAGTAAGCCTAGCGGACCCAGCCCAACCCCCGAGATTGATCAGCTACTATCGATAATTTCAAAAATGTGATATGCAGTCAAATTTCCCAGTGTGTATGCCACTTAAACGAGTGTTCATATCGACGCGGTTGTAGTGCTTTGTGGAGTTGTCAAATGAGGTGACTCCCCCCCTGTAAAGTTGGTAACACTTTACAGATATCATTTGTTAACATTAACTATATTAATTAACTTTAACAATATTTATATAGCATTTATTAATCTTACTTAATATTAAGTTCAACATTTACTAATACCTTTTTAAAATTTGAAGCTGTATCTGTTAACATTAGTTAATTTACTTTGAACTAACATGAACATTGTTATTAACTAACATTAACAAAGATTAATAAATGCTGTAAAAATATATTGTTCATTGGTAGTTCAAATAATATTTAATGCTTTATCTAATGTTAACAAATGAGATCTTATTGTAAAGTGTTATCCATAATTTTAATTACATAGTAGCACAGTTATAATATTCTGATTTATCAGTCAAGTACGAGTGCACAAACGAATGCCCATTCCTATGCATAACATAAACCGCATGCTACACTTGAGTTAAATGCAGCAAAATATGCATCTGCCAAATCAGTAACGGTCCATTCACATCTCTTGAACCAAATCAAATAAAGAGCCGGGCACCTGTAGCGTATGCAGTATCAAGAGCTATCAAGAGTTTCAAAGCTGTGCATTTAAAACGCTCCAATACCGAACTGCATCCAAAAAAACATTTGAACCAGAAACCGGCCACACATCCTCATGGACACTGAATGCATGAGACATACAGGACAAGCTGAACTAAACTCAGTCGGCCCGTCACAATCAGCGCGCTCCGACTCATCTCACTCGGGGGCACAGTGGTGCGGGGGGCCGTATGACGCTCACTCACCTGAGTTGAGAGCTCTACTACACACCATCACCATCTGCTGCAGTTCCACAAGGGTCAGAGCAAACAAGCCACAAGTCATACATATGCAGCCATGCTTGCCCATACTAGCCCTGATAAAAGATTCCAAGCTAACTGGATGAGCAAGTTATGTTACCTCGAGGTGCTGGATGACTTTAATGCAGGTTTAGTGTGTTAGTAATCTGATCTGCTGCGAGAGAAAGGAGCCATGGTGGGAGTTTTAGTTTTGTGACAGAAGGACTTACACTAGGGTACGTCATGGTTATGGAGTTTTCCTCATATTGCTGATCCAGTTTCTTGTCCTATTAACAAGCAAAGAGAGACAATCACTGTAATGTCTTGTCTTTAAAGGGCTCGTTTAGCCAAAAATTACAATTCTGTCATCATTTACTCACCATTGTACTTACATAATTACTTCTGTGGAAGTATTATCAGAAACAGACTTTTTCTGAATGTGACGGCAATATAAATGAAATTATGGCAAAATACCATCAAATTTCTGTCTGTTCCTCACAGTGTTATTGTTAACTCAAATGTATTTTTGTCGATTGAAATAAAGCTGAAATAAGATATAAATATCAGACGAAAAACTTAATTCAAAATGAATAAAATACGTTTTAAAATAAGTTAAAATAAGTACTAAAACAGAAATAAAAATAAAAACTAAATAGAAACATAAAAAAATGTATAATATGACAAAACCATAACATAAAAAAAATCTAACTTAAACTAGTTCATATCAAAATGACCAAAACTTTAATTTAAATGAAAACGAAAAGTATAAAAAAAAGCTAAAATACTGGTTAAAATATTAATACCTAAATCCATTTAAAATATAATAATAAAAGTTAATTCAACCCTAACCGATATTAATGAATACTATATTAGTGTATAAATAATGCTAAAATACTGATTCCTCACACAAAGCTATCGCTTGGCTTTAGAAGATTTGTAATACAGCGTACAAGTCGTATGGACCACTTTTATAATAAAAGGTTGCTTTTTAGAGCTTGACTGTCAAAATTCAAACACACTTTTTGCATGGACAACAGCAGCTAGTGCTTTCTACCAAACAAGTTCCACAGAAGAAAGTCAAAGATGTTTGGAAGTACATGAGTATGTGTAAATGATGACCGGGTGGACTATCCCTTTAAGAAAAATCAATTCATAAAAACATATTGACTGTGAAATAGGTCTCACCACACAGTGCACCAGTATGCTTAGGGGAATCCAGAACAGGAGAGAGAAGACCACCACTGATCCAACTATGTTGTCAGCCAAGAACTTCCCTGAACATTGACAGAAAAGAGTCACCACTAGCATTTACAAAACATACAGAAAAGGTCCTGGTTAAATTCACCCTGTTATCATCTCTTACCAAATGTGTTGATGTCCAGTTTGTCTATGAAGTCCCATAAACGTTCGATGACATCTTGGACGTGCTTCATGCATTTACCCTGGAATGTGCAACACCACAGCATTGGTCACGCCAATGAAAACACTATTCAGTCTGATAAATGATCATTATCAAAACAGAGACAAGCAGTGTACTCACGGCCCCGTCACAGAAGCCAACGGTACAGGGTTTGCCCTTGCGCAGGTAAAGATATGACTCATCACTGATAAAGGGAGTGCACAGCCCGCTACTGCTTCTACAGCACACTTTACAAGAGTCCTCAGTCTCTGAAAAACATCACAGCAAACGAACAGACTCAGCACTTCTGCATTCATAATTACAGGTACAACATTGAACACTATTATTAGTATGTGTGTTTTGGTACTAGCTTCAGTGTACATCAACCATCTCAATTAACGGGCCAATGTAACGCAATTTTGAAGTGGTATGCATTGGCCAATATCTGTGCAATATATTTGGGGTGAATGTTGTGTAAAATAGCCTAAATAATCCCGTAATTTCAGCCTTTTTTTTTTATTTTATTTTTTTTACATCTTACCTGCTGTCATTATATAGAGAGAATATAGTTGGGGATAGTTGTCACAAAGTCTGTATACTTTACACTAATCAAAAGTTTGGGGTCAGTAAGATTTTTACTTATTATTAATAAAATAAATTGTAAAATAAAAATGTATACTGATATTCAGCAAGAATGCATTAAATTGATCAAAACTGATAGTAAAGACGTACATTTTTACAAAAAATTTCCATTTCAAATAAATGCTGTTCTTTTGAACTGTCTATTTATCAAAGAGTTCTGAACATGACTAATAAAAAGAAATAAAAATATTTCTTGAGCACCAAACAGCATATTAGACTGACTTCTGAAGGATCATGTGACGCTGACGACTGGAGGAATGATGCTGAAAATTCAGCTTTCCGTCACAGGAATAAATGACATTTGAAAATATATTCAAATAGAAAACTATTATTTTAAAATGTCATTTTTCACAATATGACTGTTTTTTATTTTGAAACTAACCTTTCAAAAACACACACACACACACACACACACACACACACATATATATATATATATATAAAAAATGAAATATTCAATAATCATTAAGAAATGTAAAAATCTATTATATGAGCTGCATTTTTTCCCCAGACAATAATTATATAAATGTTCAAAAGCTTTATTTTAACCAAGATATTAAAGTCTTTGTCTCTACAGTGTTATATTGTCCATCGCTGCTCACTAGGGATGAACACTGATCATCCAAACAGGTCTCTTGGTTGGGCACTAGTCTGAACACAGAAGAGGGTTTGAGACATTTACCATTGCAGGCACAGGACTCAAGATTATGCATAGCCTCGCAGAAAGGCTTGCACTCGCCCTTCTGACATCGACCCTTATCCACACACTCTGTATTATCCACCAGGTTTCCAGGGGTGGGGCACTCACTGCTGTTGCCTAGGGATACATAAGGGTAAAAAGTATAATTAATCCAGACCACTGCTACATTGACATTGGAGAGTTTGGAGCTCACCTGTGCACTTTGACATGCCCTTGCAGGTGGCGGTGATGATCTCCTGACAGGTCTTATTTGCACTTTCAAACCTACAGTCCTTGCAGCAGGGGCTGTTCCTGTCACTGAGGGTCACAGACAACAATATCAGCCACAAATACTGATAGCAACAATGCCCTTAAGATAACCACACTTCCTACTAAAATTTGCAACCACTTGTCACCAGCTGTCATCAGTCAGACTATGGAAGAAAAATTAGCATAAAGACATTTTTAATAACTCTATATAAACCTTTCAAGACAATCGATGGATTACGGTTCTGTTGAAGCCATCAGCCAGCATAATTAAACTTAATTTATAAAATGTGCGCAATAGCTGATTTCAATTCCCATTAATATACATAAAATTTAATTTATTCCTGTGATGCAAAGCTGAATTTTCAGCATCATTACTCCAGTCTTCAGTGTCACATGATCCTTCAGAAATTATTCTAATATGCTGATTTGCTGCTGAAAGGGATTAAAGGGATAATTCTGTCATTAATTACGCACCCTCGTGTCGTTCCAAACCCGTAAGACCTTCATTCGTCTTCTGAACATTTTTGATCAAATCTGAAAGCTTTCTGACCCTGCATAGACAGCAAACGAACTACCACATTCAAGGCCAAGGACATTGTTAAAATAGTTTGTGTGACATCAGTGGTTCAACCTTAATTTTATGAAGCTATGATAATACTTTTTGTGCGCAAAGAAAACAAAAATAACAATTTTATTCAACAATTTCTTCTCTTCCAGTCAGTCTCCACGTCCATTCACGAGAGTACCACGGCGCATGCGTGTCCATTCCCCTGCTTGTAAACAAGGCGCAGCGCATCCAGGTTCTTCGTCAGAACGCTGGCTCGTGGAATGTGGTAGTTCCCTTGCTGTCTATTAGAGCCCGACTGATATGGGTTTTTTGGGGCTGATACCGATACCGATATTAGGGAGTAAAAAAAAAGGCAGATATCGATATATCGGCCGATATTCTTTGTGTATATTATAGTACAGTACCAGTCAAAAGTTTGGACACTTTCCCATTCGTGTGTCCAAACATTTGACTGGTACTATATATAGAATACAGTATATACATAAACATTTTTTTGCAATGATCACTCAAATGTGGTGATGAAACACTTTGACGTGACAGAGATACGTAATGGAGGCAGGGCATTTAACAATTTAACAATAAACTTTATTTCTATTGAACACCACCCTCCGCGTGTCAGTATCCCCCCAGGATCGCTTGATCGGTCGGCGCCAGACCGCGAATTTAACTACCCCTAACTCCCGAACCCCGGGGGCTATCGACGCGACGGTGGTCTCATTCGAAAGCGAGCCTCTAGACATACACTCGATTCACATTCGAGAGGGTTTCTCGAGCTGAAGGGATCCCCTGAATTTGGTGCGGATTCGTGACGCCGTTACAGAGATATGGCCGTTCAAAGTTTCAATGGTTTTCCATAGACTTGAGCTTTAAAGTGTTTCATCCAGGTCGCCAGTAGCAAACAATGGAGCGCACTCTGCTGGACAAACTAAGTAATTACACCATTTCAAGCATTTTATCTGCGTTATATGTTCTCTAAAAAAAAATTTCATATCGGCGGCATATTCGCCGATACAGATATATCGGCGACAGGCTCATATCGGCCGATAATATCGGCAAAACGATATATCGGCCGGGCTCTACTGTCTATGCAGGGTCAGAAAGCTCTCGGATTTCATCAAAAATATCTTCATTTGTGTTCTGAAGATGAATGAAGGTCTTGTGGGTTTGGAACAGGTTTCATATACATTTTTATTTTTATGTAATTAATTTAATATTAATTTAATTAATATTCTACTCAAATAATTGATTAATATTGTGATTAATCTTTGAACTGGTTGGTTGTTAAAATCCCTATACATAGAATAGAATAAATACTTGAAGAAACAAGACAACTGAAATAATGTGTGGTCACTATTGTGATCTATATCTGGTTGATGCTGATAATCCTAAAGGCTGATATATTGGAGTATCACTGTTAGCTTCTTTACCTGCATTTTGCCTGCTTCCTGAATTTGCACTTAGCTGTGCAGCAGGGGTCATCATTGAGATGAAGGAGTCCAGGGTCACAGTCTTCATCCTCCTCCACACGGGAGTTCCCACACAGCTTACTGCTCCTTTCCTTGAAGCACTGATGGGCCTTGACCTTTAACGTCCTACTGACAGAGAACTTGCTACACCTGGAGAAGCGCTGAGGGAAAAAATATAACAGGTGAGTAAGTTAAGTAACTATATGTAAAGGGGAAAAAATCAGTACAGGAATGATAATACCTTGTTGTTCACGTGATCTCCGCTGACCGCAATAGGGTACATAACATATTTGCCGCCCTGGTCATCACTGGGCGCACAGGGAACTATATTGTCTGGATCGTGTTCTGCTCCAAAGTTGTGCCCGAGCTCATGAGTTGTTACAAGATCTGCTTCCTGGGGAGACAAAACATCAGGTTGCTGCCTGCTACAAAACATCTAGCATACAAGATGCAAGTAGTATTTAAAGCAAACCTTAGTTTTCCCATAATTCATGGTGCTTGTCAAGCCTGTGTTTAGGTAGCTGGGTTTCCTGACGGTTTGTGATGGATAGTAGGCTGTAAGACAAAAAGAATGAACTTTTGAAGCACTTTTGACGAGTGGAATTCTACTGATCACAGTTAAAGAGATTCTTACGCTTAGGGCAGAGTCCTCCCAGTCCCTGTTTGGAAGGGGCCACGTATGCCAGACCCAGAGTGCCATCATCAAAGTCCTGGTAGGTGAAGAGATGGGCAAGGCAAACAGCAGAGGCGTTGTCTGCGATGTCGTAACTGAATTGCTAAAGAGAAGCGAGATAAAGATGAGAAAGTGAGGGTATACAAATTTGTGATTCAGGGCTCTTGATTAAAATTCTGACTCGTAAAAAAACTGGCTCTTAAAAAAAAAAGAAACATTTAGAAGCTAATTATGGACAAATTAGCTGACAATTTACAGAAATGGTTAAAAAAATGTTGGTTTATTGAGTGCATTGGTTATTTACAGTGGGTACAGAAAAGAATAACCCCCTTTAAAATAATCAGTTTGTTGCTTTGCAGCCTGAAATGAAGACGGACACAGTTTGTTTTATCCAGCTGTATTTACTCAGTGCAACTTATAACATCCAAGTGAAAGATATACCACCAACATGTCAGAAAAAAAAAAGACAAAAAACAATCACTGAGTTGGAAAAAGGATCACCCCATTGTATCAGTATTTTGTTGAACCACCTTTTGCTTTAATTACAGCCTTTAGTCTGTTGGGATATGTCTCTGTCTCTTTGCCCACTCTTCTTTGCAGAACTGCTCAAGTTCGGTTAAATTTGATGGTGACCGTTTGTGGACTGCAGTCTTCAAGTCATTCCACAGATTTTCAAAGGGGTTTAAGTCTGGGCTCTGACTAGGCCTTGCAAGGACATTCACCTTTTTCTCCTACCACTGTGTGGTCAGTTTTGTTGTTGTTGTTATTGTTATGTTATCTTCCCACTGACACCTTTCTGGCAGAGGGCAGCAGATTTTTCTCAAGAATTTGATGTTATTTTCCCCCATCCATTTTCCTTTTATCCCGACAAGTGCTTCAGTCCCTGCTGCAGAGAAACACCCCATAACAAGATATTACCACCTCCATGCTTTACTGTAGGAATGCTGTTATTTGGATGGTGAGCTGTATTGGATTTCCACCAGACATACCGTTTGGTGTTGAGGCCAAATAATTCAATTTGAGTCTCATCTGCCTCAAAATCTTCAAAGAGCGTTTTGGCAAACCTCAGTCGTGACTGCATGTGGCTTTTCTTGAGTGTCTTTTTTCTTGCAATCCTCCCATACAAGCCACATTTGTGGGGAATTTGTGATATTGTTGTCACATGCTCACAGTGACCACTCTTTGTCATCAATTCCTGCAACTGCTTCAGAGCTGCTGGAGGTCTCTTGGTTGCCTCTCTGATCAGTTTCCTCCTGGCTCTTTCATCCAGTTTGGAGTGACGTCCTGATCCAGGGAGGGTCTGTTTTGTACCAAATACCTTCCACTTCTTAATAATGCCTTCAAAGATAGCGGCGCCGGTGTATGTGGCTTGCCGTCGGTCTAGTGGTCTAATCTTTAGTTTGTTTGTTTTACTCAGTTTTACATCCTATTTAACACAGTGCGGTTTGTCATCACTTGTTTATGACAAATCAATGCTTTTAAGCTTACAACCTTGTACAAACAATCTATTGTTTCAAGCACGAAATGGCTCATATCACTCACCTCCTCCGTTTCTGATGTCAATACCTGGCTATCTTCGCCGTTGGCCGTGTTCCCTACCGGCGAGGAAGCATCGGAAACGGCGCGGAAGACAGGGCGACCTTGCCGTTAAACTGAAGCTCTATCTGGCTCAGCAACGTGAGTCGCGGCCTTTCCGGGGGTCTCCATGGGAAGGGTTTAGCCGGCGATTACTTCATTCGCTGGCGCTCCCTGGATCCAGTACGCAATTGAAATATTACATTGACTCCGTTTGCGGACGCTCTGTTTCCCGCTTATGGCTCACCCCGGGTCCATCGTGGAGGAGTGTGTTTGAACCATCTTCGTGCATTTTCCCGGGCACGGCAGTCTGAGGTGTCATCTGAGAATCCGCATCGGCTTAGGATGGCATTGTTAAATGCCAGATCAGTGGTAAATAAGACTGTTATTATTAACGACTTTTTCTCTTCGCGGGAGCTGGATCTCTAATTCATTACAGAATCTTGGATCACTACTGGGGATCTCAGCCCATTCTCCGAACTTTTACCCCCAAAATGCTTTTTTAAAAATTTGCCTCGTAAATTTGGTGGCGGGGGAGGCTTGGTTTCTATTTTTAAAGACAAACTTTCTTGCCGGTCAACTGTGATAAATGACTATCGGAGATTTGAGCTGCAGCTATTTACACTGGATCTGAACTTCCCACTTTTGGTTGCTCTGATATACCGCCCCCCAAAACACAACACAACACAAACTTTTTAAATGAGTTTGCAGACTTCTTGGGGGAATTCACACCGAAATATGACAAACTGTTGATTCTTGGTGATTTAATGTTCATGTATGCTGCACAGGGGACCCATTAGCCAAAGAATTTATTACTCTGCTAAATGCATTAGATCTAGAACAACATGTGAATGTCCCCACTCACCAGTTGGGACATACACTTGATCTTGAGCTGACATATGGCTTTTCTCTGTACGATCTTGAGGTATCTGACAATGGGTTTTCTGACCATAAATCTGTCATGTTTTCTGTTCCCTGGGTTTCTAATAGTGCTGTGTTCAAAATATCGATACGACGATGTATCGTCACAGAGATTTGACGATACGAGTATCGATACAGCTGGCCCTGTATCGATATTGTGGCACGTGTGCAGCAGTGGACCACGCTTAATTTGTTTAAAATTTTACAACGTTTAAAATTGAGTAGAAAAGTGCGAGGTTTCTAAAAAAGAATGAATAGAGCATATATAGGCTACAACAAGGTTTAATCTGGCCGCAGAGGAACACAACTGGGTTGCCTGATATAAAGAGACGTAAACCCCAAAACAGAGCTTTACACTTGCGCTATACGGAAATATCTGCTAAATGTGCTACTTATCCCTGTCAACCATGTGCACGCGCTCTCTCTCCACTGTGGATAAACGAGCTTGCTTTCTGAAAACACCGGTAAGCTTGCAGTTTAGCAATCTCCACTTCAATATTCTATTCTCAGAAAAGTGTGATTCATCAACTGTTCATTTACGACAGAGAGAGAGAGAGAGAGAGAGAGAGGCTGTGTATGTATGAATTACCACCATTTTGCCGCATTTCTCTATTAACAGTAAAGCTGTGGGTTTAATTCCTTTAGAAACCATGATGCTACCAGCTCCTTGTTGAGAAAGATAATGTAGCTCTTGAGCGATTAAGCTATTTAGTTGATAAAACTGCGAGGCAGCGCTCAAAAGTTTGTTCCTGAATGTCTGAGTGCGGCCGCAACGTGATCTGTGTGTGTGACTGAACTTAACATCAAACTGCTTCTGTTTCACACAAATGCTGGCACAGACGTGCATGTTCGGCTAGAGTCGCTTTGAACTCGTGCATCTTCGGAAGCGGAGCTGCGCGGAAAGTTACAAAAAATGTTGTGCACACCGCCACGCGAAATGACGTCACGCGCACTCAAAAGCGAACTTCCGCCAACACCGCGATGACGTCATATTTGCCGCGCTCACCTAAGCGAACTTGCGGACGCTCGAGTATAAATCAGCCTTGAGAGTGTGTGTGTGAGATACAGTGAAGACAGCGCGTTAGTTTAGAACTCTTCTAATTTTTTTTTTTTAAATTGTAGAGTGTGTTAATTTGTGCAATGATAACCTACCAGCAATCAGTCATGTATCGTGATACGTATTGTATTGTGGCCTCTGTATCGTGATACGTATCGTATCGTGACTTTGCTGGTGATACACAGCCCTAGTTTCTAATACTCATAAAGTCACTAAACTTACCCGTCAATCTAGATTAATCACCTCTACTACTAGCAAAGCTTTTTCATTAGCTTTTTGTGACGCTATTAAATCAGTAGATTTCAGTCAATGTGACTTGAGTGCAGAGGAGTTCCTGTTCAGGCTTAACTCCACATGTGTGGATGTCTTGGATTCAGTTGCTCCTGTAAAATCCTCAAAACTTAAACCTAGATCTGAGCCCTGGATTGATGACAACATACGCTCTCTGAGGCAGATCTGTAGGAGAGCGGAGCGTAAGTGGAAAAAGGATCGGCTCCAAATTTCTTTTGAAATTTTAAGAGATTCATTATTCAAATTTCAGAAGGCAGTCAGAGCAGCGAAATCCAGGTATTTCACGGCAATTATTGTCAAGAATTACCACAGACCTAAAACTCTTTTTACTGTTTTTAACGCTGTTGTAAATCCAACTGTTTGTGAGTACCCAGATGTGTCAAAAACTGTGAGATGACTTTCTTAGATTTTGTATTAATAAGATCAGTGATATCAGGTTGGGGACATCTCCACCTACTTTTGATCCTTCTGTTTGTTCTGTTGAGTTCAGCCAGTTTGAACCTATTTCTTTTATACATCTTCAAGAAATAGTGTATCAGTTACAGCCGTCTGGCTCCTCCATTGATTATATTCCACCATATTTCCTGAAACAAGTTTTTGATGCAGTGGGTCCCTCTCTTGTGACCATGATACATCGATGTTTTGAGACTAGTACTGTGCCGGACTGTGCCGGATCTGTTAAAACATGCTACAGTCTATCCCTTGCTTAAGAGGCCGAACTTAGATCCTTCTGTTTTAGCCAATTATAGACCCATTTCAAATCTGTCTTTTATTACAAAGATCTTAGAAAAAGTAGTCCTGCAACAGCTACAAGATTTTTTAGATGAAAATAAGACCTTTGAGGTCTTTCAATCAGGTTTTAGAAAACACCACTCGACTGAGACTGCATTTCTGAAAGTTTTAAATGATATTCTATTAACTGGTGATGCTGGGGATCATGCTGTGCTTGTGCTCCTAGACTTGAGCGCTGCTTTTGACACTGTGGACCACGCTATCCTGCTTGCTCGCTTGGAGCACTGTGTAGGCATAAAAGGAAGTGCTCTTGAATGGTTTAAATCTTATTTTGCCAATCGAAGTTTTAGAGTTAACATTGGTGAACGCTCATCTGAGGTAGCTTCTTTGTCATGTGGTGTTCCCCAGGGATCCATTTTGGCTCCTATTCTTTTTTCATTGTACATGCTCCCATTGGGTTCTATTTTTAGGAAGCATGGTCTGTCTTTCCATTGCTATGCAGATGACACTCAAATCTATCTGCC